TGCAGCTCTGAGGCAGCCCGGGCCGGCTCCAGCGCTGACCCCAACCCACAACAATCAGCCCCAATAATCCCAAATCAATCCCAGCATCAGTCCTGGAGCCCAGAGGGATAATTGAGACCATTCCTGTCAGATCCATAAGGCAGGATCCCCAGCCTGTGCAAGTAATTGGGACCAGGGGCAGGGGGCAGATCTCGTTATCAATATCAATTATTTTAATCCCCACAAAAGAGGCTGCGAGAAAAGGAAAACGAAAGAGGCCAAACTTTGTCCACCAGCAATAAAGGAACAAAAATACCTAAAGCTGGGATTCACCTGCTGATTCCTGCCAGAGGGAGGGAGTAAAAGGGGGCAGTGAAGAGGGAGGGAGGGAGCTGGGAATGTGCTCATAATTAGGATGATAAAAGTGGGGATTGGAGCAGGCTGGGGATGGATTTGGGCCAGATGGGTTGTGCTGAGATGTATGTTGGCCACCCCAGCTCTCCTGCTCCAGCACGAGCTGCATCCAAGATCTACATGGGCTCCTGTGCCAAGAGAATTAATGGAAACACATGGCCTCCATCCCTGCCTGGACTATTTATTTGTAGTAGGACCTACAGCTCTGCCCGTGGAAAAGAACATTTCCACTTTTGTCAGGAGTTGTGGATGGGACAGCCCAGCGATGTTATGGTTAAATGGGACATTTTCCCTTCCTCCTTCCCTTCTGGTGTGCAGGGCCTCCATCCCAGCCTTGCTGGGGCTCTCTGTGTGATTTGGAGAGGGCAATGGCATGCTTGGCACAGGAGGGGGATTTTCCTACCAGCCTGACCCTCCTGGGTCCCTCAGGGGGAGATGGGCTCCAGGAATTCTGGTTTCTCTCTGTGGGAGAGAATTCAGGCTCTGCTGGAGCTGGAGAAGGCTTTGCTCAGCCCCAGGCACAGCTCTGGCACCTGGAAACTGCCTGGGCTGAGGATTAATGGTGCCTGTGGGTGCCAGGAGCCCCAAACTCCAATCCCAGCTTGGCAAGGCACCGCAAACAGGGAATTTCACCTCCTTCTCCCTGGATTTCTGTGCTGTCCAGGCCAAGGTGAGCACCTGGGTTGCACTTGGAGTGGCTGTGGGATGGGATCCCAATCCCTGTGGCGTCCTGGAGCTTCCTGTGTCCACATCACCACATCCAAATGGACACACCTGGGTGGCACCTGGCAGGAGAAGTCCGGGAATCTGCCATCCTTGGGTTTATTTACCCCATTTTGGGGTTGCTGTTGTTTCAGTGGTTGGAGGGCTCTTTGCCCTGCTAGGAATGCCAGGAAAAAGCAGTTTTCCCTCAGGAGGCACCAGGTCTGAGCCAGGGTTGGGATGGGGAGCACCCAGGGCCTCAGCATTGCCTTGTTCCAGGATTTATCTGGGGGTGCAGCCTGGCACAGGCACAGCAGAGCAAATCCCCAGGCTGGAAAATGCCAGAGCCCTGCAGAGCCCCCTGTGCCCAGATCTCCTGGCACAGGACACCAAACATGGACATTTCTGACTCCAAACCACTCCAGAAGAAGCCTCTGGATGCTGGTGGAGGTTTTGGCAGAGCAGTTCTGATAATCACAGGGGTTTGGGGCTGGGCAGGTCCTGCATGGTCTGCTCTCTCCTGTCCCAGCAGGGATGTGTCAGGGTGGGATGCAATCCACTGATGCATTTTTCCTGCTGGCTGCCAAACTGCTGCTGCTGCTTTTTAATTCCAGACAGATATCTTGGAAAATTCAGCCACCAACTGGAGGGAGCAGCTGTGGGAGCAGCTGCTGGGGCAGGAGCCCTGCTGGGCACCGAATCCAGGGCAAGTGCTGGACACAGCCATGGTCCCTCCTGAGGGACCTCACTGACCTGGCCAGGGAAATGGGGACATGGAGGGGCTGGAGCCTGGCCAGGGAGGGGAATGGACCCCCAGGAAGGGGCTCAGCCTGGAGAAATGGGGGATCAGGGGGATTTTTGGCTCTGCACAGCTCCTGATAGCAGGGGGCAGCCAGGGATGTTGGGCTCTGCTCCAGGGAACAGGGACAGGAGCAGAGGGAACGGCCTTAGGGAAAGTTTAGATTGGATATTTGGGAAAATCCCTTCCCTAAAAGGGTGGTCAGGCACTGGAAGGGCTGCTCAGGGCAGTGATGGCGTTTCCATCCCTGGAGGTGACCAAAACCCACATGGATGTGGCACTTGAGGACATGGTGATGAGCATG